GACAAGAAGGTATCACCTCACAGCTGTCAGAATGGCTGCCTTCCACCAGTCAACAAAGGACAAGTGCTGGTGAGGACTGGAGCAAAGGGAACCCTAGGACTCTGCTAGTGGGGATGCATGCAGCCAGTCACTATGGAAAACACAGTGAGTATGGAATTTCCTCAAAAAATTAAAAATGGAACTGACATTTGACCCTGTGATTCCACTTTTAGGAATGTATCCTAAGAATTCTGAAATACCAATCTGAAAGAATATATGCCTCCCTATGTTCATAGCAGCATTATTTACAACAACTGAGATATAGAAACAACCCAAGCGCACATCAGTAGATGAGTGGATAAAAAAGCTGTGGTACATTTATACCATGGATACTAGACAGCAGTAAAAAAGAAGGCTCTCTTACCCGTTGAGACAGCATGGAGGGACCTGGAGAGTATCATGCTAAGTGAAATAAGTGAATCAGAGAAAGACAAGTATCACATGATTGCACTCATATGTGGAATCTAAGTAACAAAATAAACTTATGAACGGAGTGGATCCAGAGACATGAAAGTATGGAACACAGTGTGGAATCTCGGGGGGAAAGTGGGGGAGGATGGGTGTTTAGGTGATAATCAAAGATCTTGTAACATATATGCATAAACCGTGGACACAGATAGTAGGGTGGTGAAGGCCTCAGGCAGGAGGTGGGGGCAAGCGGGAAGGGGTCAACGGGTAAAAAGGGGGACATATGTAATACTTTCAACAATAAAGATTAAAAATAAATAAATAAAGTGTGATATACCCATACAATGAAATACTACCTTATCAAAAGTAATAAATTATAGGCACACATAACATGGATGAATCTTAAAATAATCATATTGAGTAAGATAAGTCAAACATAAAGGAGTACATATAGTTAATTATATAGTAAAATTCCATTTATATGAAATTGTAGAAAATACAAACTAATCTACAGTAACACAAACCACATAAGTGGTTTTCTGCAGATGAGTGGACTAGAAAGGGTGTGAGAGAGGTATTACAAAGAAATATGACAAAACTTTAAGGATAATAGATATATTCTGTATCTTGACTATGGTAGTGGTTTAACAGGTATATACATGTGTCAAAATTTATCAAACTGTACACTTTAAATATGTGCAGTTAGTTCACTGTATCTCAATTATAACTTGCAATCTCTCTCTCTCTCTTTTTAATATATTTTATTGATTTTTTACAGAGAGGAAGGGAGAGTTAGAAACATCGATGAGTGAGAAACATCGATCAGCTGCCTCCTGCACACCTCCTACTGGGGATGTGCCCGCAACCAAGGTACATGCCCTTGACCAGAATCGAACCTGGGCCCTTTCAGTCCGCAGGCCGACTTTCTATCCACTGAGCCAAACCGGTTATGGCGCAATCTCTCCCTTAGTAAGCAGTATCACCTTTTCCTTTCAGCTCTAAAACAAAAAGCTATTTTCTTTCCTTTCCACCCTTGATAGTATTACTCTCAAAACATTACAGAACGAAAAAAAAAATTACCCCATATTCTCTACATTTTCAAAAGTGAACCCTTAGAATATCAATGCTAGACACAGATGTTAAGGTTGCCAAGATACAAATATATATTGACAAAAATATTTTCCCCAACCACCTACTTCCATAACCCTATTACTAACAATTTTGAAACTGCTATTTCCCTTTGCAGGGTGATACATATGACTTCAATCATATCTTTATTTTGCATCATTATGACCCAAAAACACCCTTAGAAAAAATATTGCCACTATCACCCAACCTTCTTTTTTTGCTGTTCCATCTTAGTTTTCCTTGGTAAGTTATGACATCCATACTTCTATTTAGTTTCATTTCATTTTCTCACATCTACCAGACTTTTATTTTTAATTTTTTTAATACATGTTTAGGAGTAAGGAAAGTATTTCTACACACCTCAAGAACTGGTCCGGCTCCAAGAATAATTTGTTCCACTCCACTGGCAAATCCTTTCTGACTGAGAGCAGTAAGGTGGTGAATAAGAAAGTTTGTGCTTTGAGTCTTCCCAGAACCACTCTCTCCCGAAATCACAATGCACTGATTCTTTTTGCGCTGAAGCATGGTATGATAAGCTACATCAGCCACAGCATAAATGTGAGGCTCAAGTTTTCCCAACTGGTGGTTATCATACATTTTTACATATTTGGGGTTATAAATAGGAAGAAACTTGAATGGGTTAATGACTATTAGAATACTGCCAACATAGGTATAAATTTTTTCATGCTTAAAGCGATTTCGTAGATTTTCTAAGAGAGTTTTCTCATTCAAATCAGGTAAGCTACATAAATCATCAAAGTCTTTCTGTTGAGGCTGTGGAAGAAAACCCCGTTCCATCATCCTGCGACGTTCTTCTGTTACCCGTAGCCATGACTGAAGACTGCCATAATGGATTGACCCATCAAGGTTTTTTTCTCTCAAAAGAAATCGGTAGTCCTCTCCACTTAGGCGATTTTCCAGAGCCATTCGAGGCCACAACATCATTCGTTGAACTGGACAGTCTGTTGGATTGAGTATCCATTCTTCTCCACCAAATTCCTTTACCTCTGCTAGAACATAACATTTTGTTTTGTCAAGATGAAGTCTGTTTATAAGAGAGTCGATCACCTCAGCAGCTGTGGAGTTTTTTCTGGCAGGAATAGGACAGTAGATTGTCCCTTCTGAAATTGTCCCAGGATATATATGTAATGTATGTTCATTATCCTCAAAGCGTCGTCTTCCTCCATCATTTATATTCATATTGAATCTTGTCCCATCAGCATGAATAGTACATGTTCAAGATTGTGAAAACCATTTTCGTGGCAAAAGAACTGTAATATAAAAGATATGAAACATTTAGAAGTCACATTACACAATCATTGCTTTCTGATGCTCAAGAAAGAAAGGTTTAACAATCATTTTGATTACATTTTTAGGACATAAAATCCTAACTCAGTATGGAAAGTCTTTTTTTTTTTTTTTAATCTAATTGGCTTGCCCGGATCATGTGGTCCAGTGGTTAAGTGTCATCAACCTATGAATAAGAAAGTCACGGTTCAATTCCCAGTCAGGGCACATGCCCAGGTTACAGGCTCAATCCCCAGTATGGAGCATGAAGTAGGCAGCTGATCAATGATTCTTTCTCATCATTGATGTTTCTAACTCTTTCTCCCTCTCCCTTTCTCTCTGAAATTAATTTTAAAAATATTAAAAAGGAAAAAAATCTAATTGGCTTTACTAAGTGATTCATGAATTGGGCAGCATCCCATCTAGCAATGTCAAGGAGGAACAGTCTTGAAAACAATCTCATTGAGACCACATAATATTACATTTTATTGTTTAAATGAAGACTCTTTCTAAAACAGCAACTTGCCAAAAATTGTTTCAATGTTTTATATTAAATCAAAATCCAAGGAGTACAAAATAAAAAATAATTTTGTCTTTTACTATCTCAAATGTTTTTAAAGTACCTGAGATTAGAATTAGGTCCTTTCTTTACATCTGAAGAGCCTCTCTGAAGACTAAGATGGACAAAATAATCACACAAATCTAATCACCCTGCACTGAAAAGCTCTTATGAATAAAGCAAAAATAAGAAAAAAATGCCATTGATGGAGCAAAAATTTTGTGAAATAGAAAACAGTAAGATGAGATCAGAAAGTAAACTATTTTAATTTAATTAATAATTAGATAAGAAAAACCTGCTAAAGAATAGACATATTCAAGAACTTCTATACTCTTGAGGAGAAGGGGGCAACAAAAAGATCATGCCCTTACCCTGGCTGATGTTGGTCATCGGTTAGTTAGGGTCAGCCCACACACCACAGGGTCATAGGTTCAATTCCCAATCAAGGGCAGATACCTGGGTTGGGACACATGCGGGAGGCAATCAATCAATGTGCCTCTTTCACTTCCATGTTTTTCTTTCCCTCCCCCCACTTGTCCATCCCTGGGCCTATCTTAATTACTATAGCTCTGTAAGTTTTGATATCTGGAAAGCATATCACCTCTATTTGTTCTCCTTTAACGTTACTGTCACTATTTGCTCTGCCATAAGAATTTTAAGAGCCACATACTAACATAAAATAACCTTTTGGCAGTTTGATATTGTATAGATTTTATAGATTAATATTGGAAAAAACTGGCATCCTATTGACTTCCCATTCATGAACACCATGTTTTTTTTAATTATACTATTTTTCACTTCTAAGATTTCTTTCATTTTCATATCCACTTGATCTTTTCTCTCCCTCTTTAAATTTCATAATTGTTTTAATTTAAGAGATATTAATTGTTCACTTATCTCCTTGAAAGTCCTAAATATATATAATTTTATATTTTCCAAACTAAAACTTTAAACTGCTCTTCTGTATCCACTGTAAACTGCTCTTTTGATGATTGATTTTATTTTGTATCTTTCTCAGTATTAGATGGTTTAATTTGTTTGAGAATTCAGCTTTATAGTCACATTTTTTGATACAAGATTTTTTTGGGTCTTTCATACATTTACTGAGAACCCACTATTTTCTTACTTTTTAAAAACATAACCACAATACCACTAATTGCACCTTTAAAATTAACAATTTTTTTAAATTTGTATAAATATTTTTAATTGTTTTTAGAGACAAAGGGAGAAGGAAAGAGAGAAACATCGATTGGCTACCACCTGCACACCCCCTACTAGGGATCAAGCCTGCAACCAGGCATGTGCCCTGACTGGGAATGGAATCTGTGACCTCTTGGTGCATGGGACAACATTCAACAAATCCAGCAACACCAGCCAGGCTAAAAATTAACAATTTTTAATATTACTATTTTTTACTTCCCCAGTGTTCAATTTTCCCATTTAACTCATAAGTATTTTTCTTACAGTCTACTCAAATCAGGAGAGTTGTCCTGAAGTAACAGTATGGACATGCTATGAGCTGGCAGGTTCCTAGTTGTAAAGCTATGTTGGAATTCTCCTGAATCTCTAGGTACATGGCTTCATATAAACTGTGGCCTCTGGCACCAGTCAACAGCAAAGCTACTCCTTCTAGTCAAGCAAGCTGTTCCTTGCACAACCAGGAGATGCACTGCAAAACTATAGTCTGATCTCTAAAGGTGTACAAGATGGCAGTCCTAGAACTAAACTCAGAAATACCGTATTTGCCGGCATATAAGACGACTGGGCGTATAAGACGACCCCCTAACATTTCCACTCAAAATACAGAGTTTGTTATATACTCGCCGTATAAGACTACCCCCTCTTCCGCACACCTTCCACACACCAAATAAAAGGTAAAACAATATCAGATTTGATTTTAACATTTTAATTTATATTCAAATGCTTATGACATGCAGGAAAACTGTCACAAGGCTGTATGTAATCAAACATATACATAAAACAGTGCAAGTTTATTACCGGTAAACATACCGGTAATTCACTAAAGAAAACACACTCTATAGACTGGTACCGTAGATGCTTCTCAGGAACACAGGCAAGCAGCCCACAACCTAGAGGGACTGTCAATGATAGAAGTAAGATAACAAATAGAGGTAGAGAGCAAGTGCCGGGCAAGTCCCTAGCAAGGACCTCACTAGTGCGCAAGTGCGAGCTCTTCAACATTCTAACAGGCACCATGATAGCGCAAAATCGCGAATCTTCAATGCATATGTAAAGAAATATACGGTAACCCGAATTTACCACACTCGCAAAATCGCACACAGCCAACCATACACCCAGTATGGTATCGCGATTCGTGATTTTGCGCTATCATACTGGGTGTATGGTCGGCTGTGTGCGATTTTGCGAGTGTGGTAAAATCGCATAACAGCAAAATCGCATAACAGCCGAGCATACACCCAGCAGCGCTGCTGATGCCTGAACGGTATGTGGAATGAAGTGGGCGGGCATCGGGAGGCCACTATGGCACGGGGCAAGCACTATGGGCAGTCTATCTGAAGTGTACCTGGCATATAAGACGACCCCCCACTTGGAGGCATATTTTTCAGGGCCAAAAAATCGTCTTATACGCCGGCAAATACGGTACCTCTTTCAACAGAGGAACCCTACCTATCCTGGCCCATGGTTTCTAACAATGAGACCAACTGTAATAACTCTTCCCCATTTTCAACAAACCGCTGTTGCTTTACCTGCAGTCTAGGCTCCAAGCCATAGCCTCACTCACTACTTTGTGTTCTATTCCCTTTCTGAAACATAAAAATGTTTTTCTTTTTTTGAGCCCCATGTATGTCCATTTGATTTTTCTCTTCTTGTTACTTTATCAATCACTGCTTTGTGTTTCGGGGGGGGGGAGGAGGAAGGTTACCTCAAAATATCACAAATACATCTTGACAACAAGCCATGAGAGTTTATCAGAATCATCTGGGAAACATTTTTAAAATATACATTTCTAGGCCCAATAATGTTTCTGAGGTTGGGAAATCTAGGCAATTCTGTTGTTGCTGGTCCACAGTATAGCATTTGGAAGTCAATGGTCTATATTTCCACTCTCCACTCCCTTACCACTCTTCCCACATAGCAAGTTACTGCCAATGTTCTTTGAAAATATCACCAATTAACATAAAGTTGCCTAATCCAAGAGCCTCTTCTCAATTCTCATCCTAACACACCACACTGAAGTGGCCATCTTATTCTTGAAACTGCAATCACATGACAATTACTTTTTTTGCAATATTCTAATAGGCTCACTCTTTCTGATGCACTCTTATAACTCTTTTTCCTCACTTTAAAAATAAAAATATTCTGTTTCTGGTATCAACACAGTGCTCTTTTACCTGGATAATTTTATTTAGTTCTTTATAACTAGAGGCCCGGTGCACGAAATTCATGCACTCGGGGTTGGGGGGAGGTACCTCAGACTGGCTACGCTCGCCAGCCATGAGCCCAGCTTGTGGCTGAATGGCACTCCCCCTGTGGGAGTGCACTGACCACCAGGGAGCAGCTCCTGCGTTGAGCATCTGCCCCCTGCTGGTCAGTGCACGTCACAGTGATAGGTCATTCCGCTGTTCAGTCGATTTGCATATTAGCCTTTTATTATATTATATAAGATTTATACAGTTGCCTATTATCTATGAAGTTTTGTGCTACAATGGCAGAACTGAGTAGTTGTAATAGAGACCATATGTCCATAAAGCCAAAAATGTTTACTATGTAGTTTTAAAAGAAAAAGTTTATAGACCCCTATTTCAGGGTAACCATTAAAAACTATCTTAAAAGTATAACTTCTCAACTAGTAGAGTAAAAAAAATGGAAGGATAAAAAATAATCAATTCCATGCTCTAGCCAGTTTGGCTCAGTGAATGTAGCGTTGGCCCGCAGACTGAAGGGTCCCAGGTTCAATTCCAGGCAAGGGCACAAACCTCAGTTGCGCTCCATTCCTGGCCCTGGTCGGGGAATGCATGCAGAGGCAACCAATCAATGTGTCTCTCTCACATCAATGTTTTCCTCTCTCTCTTTCTCCCTCTACCTTCCACTCTCTCTAAAATTCAATAGAAAAATATCCTCAGGTAAGGATTAGCCAAAAAAAAAAAAAAAAAAAGTCAATTCCAAAGAAAAGCAACAAAGGGGAAGGTTAAAATAGATGGAACAAATGGAAAGCAAACTAAACATATCAATTACTGTATTAAGTGTAAATGCTCCAGTTAAAAGACAAGGATTATCAGACCAGATTTTAAAAATCCAACTATATGATCTTTTCAATAGACACAAAACTGTAATATGAGGAAACAGAATCCAGAAGACAAAAAAGAGAAGACATACCATGTAAATTCTAGCCAAAAGAAAGTCGGTATAATCTAAAATAACATCAAGCAAAATAGAAAAAGAAAATTGAGTTAAATATATCGTAGGTCC